ATTGTAATAATAATAATAATGGAAATCAGACAGTCCTCGGTGACGCACTGACTTGCTTGGGATATGTGGCTAATCCTCCGGGTTAAAAATCCGAACAAATTTTATATCTTAGGATAGACACTAGCCTGTCGTTGAAGTAGATGACTGAGTTTTCTTGTGATTAGTAACCCTGAAGAATTAATAACTCAACATTATTACTGTAGTAATGTGAAGCGTTAAACCCGAAGTTGTGGAGGTTTGATCATCCATCTAAGCTGAGAACTCCCAGCTAGGCTTACCTCGTTCATATGAATAACCACCCAAAAAGCCAAACGGTGTGGATTATTTCCATTGGAATCTAGACTGGTTCTGTTCCCCACCAGAGTTTCTACTCCCACAGCCCAGTCTGGGGCCAGACTTGCCTGGTCAGCCAGGCTGTTGCTGCTTATTACTACTTGGCGAACATGAGCAGCTGTTGTATGTCTCAAACATCTGTACCCACAAAACCATTTTGGAAATTTACACCAGTGGCTGTAAAATATTTTTAATTTGCTAAATAAAGTTAGGCAAACTGTTTTAATGAATTTGCATTAAAATTTATAGAAAAAAGTGGGCAAACACTGAAATATGTGACTGAAGAATTTGTTTTACTAAGCAAAAGTTGGATTTATTAACATTGTTGCCACCCTGTAGTGTAGGGAAACTTATCTTGAAGACAGCTTTCGCCTACTCCTGGAGAAAATTTCTCCACGTGTATGATAGTTACACAGTGGGAACAAAGCTAACTGTTTCTGTCACATTCCATCACGCAGAATGGTGTTCAAACAAGGTGTTAAGATCTCTCAACCTGAGCTGGGAGACTTCAGTAAGACAATGAGAATATAGAGTATTTCAGCAGGAGCCATAGAGCAATGAGGATATCAAATATTCCAGCAGGAGCCATAGTGTTCATTGAGTTCATCCAATTCCATCACAGTAATTAATACTTGTTTCAGCTTTTTCTTTCTATATTGTAGGATATGTTTCAATACAGTCTTTCTCTCCACATATATTGTAGGACATTCTGCAGTCCATTCTTTCAACGCCCATGTATTGTAGGAAATGCCGCAGTTCATTCTTTTGTCGCCCATATATTGTAGGAAATGCCGCAGTTCATTCTTTTGTCGCCCATATATTGTAGGAAATGCCGCAGTTCATTCTTTTGTCGCCCATATATTGTAGGAAATGCCGCAGTTCATTCTTTTGTCGCCCATATATTGTAGGAAATGCCGCAGTTCATTCTTTTGTCGCCCATATATTGTAGGAAATGCCTCAGTCCATTTCTTTCAACGCCCATATATTGTAGGAAATACCTCGGTCCATTTCTTTCAACGCCCATATATTGTAGGAAATGCCTCGGTCCATTTCTTTCAACGCCCATATATTGTAGGAAATGCCTCAGTCCATTTCTTTCAACGCCCATATATTGTAGGAAATGCCTCAGTCCTTTCTTTTAAGCATAGCCATAACTACAGAAATAATTTTCCGAGAACTTATACGTCATTACATTGTTTTGCATTATAATTTCATTAAGTAGTTCCACTCACCCTCTCAGAACTAGTTATGTTTTTTTTAGGTAAAAGGGCACATGTGCAACTCATGCGGCCTTTTATTGTGGCAACGTTTCGCTCTCCGGGAACTTTGTCAAGCTGTTACAAACAGTACATGGACACAGAGCGAGATGCAAAACTTAATATAATCGTTGTAGGTAGTAGTAGTAGTACTTGTGGTGTTGGTAGAAGTATTTGTGGCAGTAGTAGTAGTATTTGTGGCAGTAGTAGTAGTACTAGCACTAGTTGTAATACTTGTAGGAGTAGCTGTGTGATGGGCGGGGTTTAGTGTTTTGAGGAAAGTTCTTACTTATACTTCAGCTTCAAATGGCTGGAGTATTAGCAAGTATTACACAAGTACTACTGCCACAAGTACAAGTACTGCCACAAGTACTACTGCCACAAGTACCAACAGACCCCTGGCAGTCTTCAAGCTGGCACTGGACAAGCACCTAAAGTCGGTTCCTGATCAGCCGGGCTGTGGTTCGTACGTTGGTTTGCGTGCAGCCAGCAGTAACAGCCTGGTTGATCAGGCTCTGATCCACCAGGAGGCCTGGTCACAGACCGGGCCGCGGGGGCGTTGACCCCCGGAACTCTCTCCAGGTAAACTGTCACAAGCACTACTGTCACAAGTACTACTGTCACAAGTACTACTGTCACAAGTACTACTGTCACAAGCACTACTGTCACAAGCACTACTGTCACAAGCACTACTGTCACAAGCACTACTGTCACAAGTACTACTGCCACAAGCACTACTGCCACAAGTACTACTGCCACAAGTACTACTGCCACAAGTACTACTGCCACAAGTACTACTGCCACAAGCACTACTGCCACAAGCACTACTGCCACAAGCACTACTGCCACAAGCACTACTGCCACAAGCACTACTGCCACAAGCACTACTGCCACAAGCACTACTGCCACAAGCACTACTGCCACAAGTACTACTGCCACAAGCACTACTGCCACAAGTACTACTGCCACAAGTACTACTGCCACAAGCACTACTGCCACAAGCACTACTGCCACAAGTACTACTGTCACAAGCACTACTGCCACAAGCACTACTGCCACAAGTACTACTGCCACAAGTACTACTGCCACAAGTACTACTGTCACAAGTAAAAGTACTACTGCCACAAGCACTACTGCCACAAGTACTACTGCCACAAGCACTACTGCCACAAGTACTACTGCCACAAGCACTACTGCCACAAGTACTACTGCCACAAGTACTACTGCCACAAGTACCAACAGACCCCTGGCAGTCTTCAAGCTGGCACTGGACAAGCACCTAAAGTCGGTTCCTGATCAGCCGGGCTGTGGTTCGTACGTTGGTTTGCGTGCAGCCAGCAGTAACAGCCTGGTTGATCAGGCTCTGATCCACCAGGAGGCCTGGTCACAGACCGGGCCGCGGGGGCGTTGACCCCCGGAACTCTCTCCAGGTAAACTGTCACAAGCACTACTGTCACAAGCACTACTGCCACAAGCACTACTGCCACAAGCACTACTGCCACAAGCACTACTGCCACAAGTACTACTGCCACAAGTACTACTGCCACAAGCACTACTGCCACAAGCACTACTGCCACAAGCACTACTGCCACAAGCACTACTGCCACAAGCACTACTGCCACAAGTACTACTGCCACAAGCACTACTGCCACAAGCACTACTGCCACAAGCACTACTGCCACAAGCACTACTGCCACAAGCACTACTGCCACAAGCACTACTGCCACAAGTACTACTGCCACAAGCACTACTGCCACAAGCACTACTGCCACAAGCACTACTGCCACAAGCACTACTGCCACAAGCACTACTGCCACAAGTACTACTGCCACAAGTACTACTGCCACAAGTACTACTGCCACAAGTACTACTGCCACAAGTACTACTGCCACAAGTACTAATGCCACAAGTACTACTGTCACAAGCACTACTGCCACAAGCACTACTGCCACAAGTACTACTGCCACAAGTACTACTGTCACAAGTAAAAGTACTACTGCCACAAGTACTACTGCCACAAGTACTACTGCCACAAGTACTACTGCCACAAGTACTACTGCCACAAGTACTACTGCCACAAGTACTACTGCCACAAGCACTACTGCCACAAGCACTGCCACAAGCACTACTGCCACAAGTACTACTGCCACAAGCACTACTGCCACAAGCACTACTGCCACAAGCACTACTGCCACAAGCACTACTGCCACAAGCACTACTGCCACAAGCACTACTGCCACAAGCACTACTGCCACAAGCACTACTGCCACAAGCACTACTGCCACAAGTACTACTGCCACAAGCACTGCCACAAGCACTACTGCCACAAGCACTGCCACAAGCACTACTGCCACAAGTACTACTGCCTACAATGATTGTCATGCTTTGTACCTTACTTTATATATATACCCTCGTTGTCCCTACGAGCCAGCTAATTCCCGGGTACCTGTTTGCCGTTATGTGAACAGGGGCAAGAGGTGTAAGGAAACGTACCCAACGTTTCCACACGTGCTAGAATCAAACCCCGTGCCTTAGTTGTCAGCCGAGGGAGGCACCACTTGAGCCACGAGACTTGTGAGCGTACAAGGTAATTTAAGTTTTTATTTAGGCTTAGGAAATATAATTCTTATTTTTTACAGTGGTCATGAGGGTACAATGTTGTTTGAGGTACATGAGAAAATTAGAATAGTGGAACACTGCAGTAGGCCTACTGGCCCACGCTAGGCAGGTCTAACTCACCCACCCATCACACCCATGTTATACAGATATAACCTAATAAAGTAAACATAGGGACTTATTTTTATTTTTAGTAAGTAGTTTTATTTAGGTACAGGCACACAAGTACAACTATCATGCATAGATACATATATGTAAATTACCTATAGATAACCCAAAAAAGTCAGTGACCTGTTTCTATTAAGGTTTTTGATGCCCATGTTCAGCTGTCAATACAATAAATACCTATTATATAGATACTTATGTGTTAGTCAAAAAACTAAACATCACTCAGGTTATGAACATGCGATTTTAAAAAGATAATTATAAATGTCTGTCATAATTGTAATAAACTACAGACCTGCTGTTGACATTGTGTTATGTATAAAAAATATTTTAACAAGTCACAATATGAGTAAATACAGTTCCTTTTACTCAGTATTTATTGTTTAAAAAATATGTAAAACAAAAAAGCTCGTTTTTTATTTAGTTATATTTACTCCATAATGTTAATATAATTGAGTTTTTACAAGAGTTAGAACCAATACCAGCGCTGATATTACTAGAATATTCTCTTGTGGGAGCTAAATTCCCTCTATAAAAATTTTCACACACAACAAAAAATAAAATTATGGAATTTTATATATTTATGCAAATGTAGTGAAGGAAGGAACGCCAAAATAGAACAAATATTTGGTTGGTGGGGGAGGCAGCAGTGACGGCCATGTTGTAGGTTGGTGTAACAGAGTGGAACCCACAGATCTAGGACGCAGCTTACTGCTGGCGTCTCTTGCTACACATATCCCAGGAACTCATTTTCCTTCATCCTTCAAGAAGCTGCGAGACCAGTCATACTAAGTGAAGGAGTCAGAGGATAAAGAAAGGCAGCTAAATCTTTTCACTACAGCGCATTTCTTGCTAGTAACTGGGAAAACCTCACCTTCAGGTTCGTTAATTTAAGTGAAAATATTCACAGCGTCTATTGTAAGCCATGTTTATTTGTATGTATGACGTTAGAAGAGTTCTACGTTGCCTATGGAATCTGGTTAACCGTCCTTTGTATAACTGGTTTAATTAATACACCACCACCGACAAAGACTTGTCACGGGGTTTACCCAGATAAGTGTACGACGCAGTATTTCCCAGTAATAGATAAATATTTAATTGGCGGCCTCACCCATATACATTTATGGTATGGAAAATAATTGCTATAATAATCCCTTCAAGGGAGGTTCCTTGACGCTGGTGAAGGGCTCTTGATCTAGGAAATTGGAACTTAGCTCCAGTTCCCTGAATTAAGTCTGAATACCTTCCATCCCTCCCACAGGCGCTGTATAATCCTAAGGGTTTAGCGCTTCCCCCTTGATTACAATCAATCAATGCTATAATAATGTCTGTAAAATTACCGATAATTTTGAGGTAAGAGCACACGTCTGCAACTAATGCAACGTTTTTATTGTGGCAACGTTTCACTCCTAGAGCGAAAGTTTCCTCAAAAATTATTCATTAGTTGCATATGCCTTTACCTAAAAAAAAAAATTGCTATATAATGCTCGAATTGCATTTGTATACAAGTTTCTTTCGTGCCTAATATTTTACTACATTTAGACTAAATTATCTTTGTATAGCATATAAAGAAATTTAAGTTGTTTGAATTTAATCCGTAAACTGTTTGGGCGAAACGTCGTCAGTACATGATTGTATTACACAGTATTCCTCTGTCATGTCGGTATTTTATATTATGTCTCACAATGCATTTATAGCAAAGGATTTTCCTAAGTGGAAATACGTCTGTCTGACTTGTGGGTTATCCTAGGTAATTTACACTGATAATTATATTTATGTACCTGTACCTAAATTACTAAAGTACTGTTTCTTTCAGTTAGGCAGCAATTTTTTTTCCCTTTATAAGTGTAACGGCATTAATTAATTCTGACTTAAGATTTTTAAAAATGACTTGGCCATTGAGATTCTATGAACTCTTGTTAGCAATATTTGCCTTTATATTACCTGTTTCAGGAAATTATTGTAGCTTTTAATACTACTTGTAAAATCATCATTGTCTATTGTCTAAAAAAAAAAAAATTATTTCGGCATGATACAGCTCATGTCCAAGAGATTCAGTAGTGTAAATTGGAAGTTAATACATGTACCCAGTTCCTTAGGTTAGAACAAAAACGTCTCCTCTTCCTCAACCGTGTTTCCAGTTCTTAAAATGCACATGCCAAGTTCCTAAATTTCATTTACTTCTGTCGCGAGTGGTAAGCTTGTACTCGCAAACACACAAGGCAAACTCATACGTGCTGTTGTATGTGATAATGTATTTTTGGCTGACAATTTGCTTATGTTGCTGCCTTTATAAAGTAGAGGTAAAAATTGAAGTAATAACAAACATTGCCAACAGTTGGTCCATCGCTCAGGGACAGGAAACATTGTACATGATTGCTGTACTTAACATTTTGCTTGTTAGCAGCTCAGTTGTCATCTGGTTATATATTCAGCATTGTCTTAATATTTTGGTAGGTATCTCTATTAGTGGAAGGTACTTTAAAGTGCCAGAATAGAGCACAGGCACTGCACATGACCCACAACTCCATTGTATTGTACCTACATTGGACCTACATGAGGCCCGTGAAAGGCTCTTGATTCAGGGAATTAGAGCCATCCCTTCCTTGTATCAAATCTGATTGCCTCCTATTCTCTAAGGCACTGCATAATTCATAATGGGTTTAGTTCTCCCCCCTTCTCTTGAATAAATAGCTTCAAAAACCACAGTAATGTATCTACCTCATCTGCTAGGAAAATGGTAGGATGGATAATGAGAACCTTCAAAACCAGGGATGCAAAGCCCATGATGGTTCTCTTCAAATTGCTTGTGCTCTCTAGGCTGGAATACTGCTGTACACTAACGGTCCCCTTCAAGGCTGGCAACATTGCAGACCTGGAGAGTGCACAAAACTTTCACAGCACATATAAGCACGATAAGGCACCTAAACTACTGGGAACGGTTGAACATCCTTGATCTGTATTCCCTGGAATGCAGGCAAGAGAGATGCATGATAATATACACTTGGAAGGTCCTGGAGGGATTGGTACCAAACCTGCACACGAAAATCACTATGAAAACAGAAGATTCGGCAGGAGATGCAACATTCCCCCAATGAAAAGTAGGGGTGCAACTAGTACATTGAGAGACAACACAATAAGTGTCTGGGGTCCAAGACTGTTCAACTGCCTCCCAGCCTACATAAGGGGGATTACCAATAGACACCTGGCTGTCTTTAAACGTATATATACGTTCTCTTGCGTAGCGCCCCAGACGTATATATATGTTTCATTTGCCATTCATTCAACATTGGCACGATAGGCCTGGTCGCCTAGACATGAGAGAATGGGTGTGCGCACTCAGTGTGCGCCAAATGAAGAAAATTGGGGATGCCTGGGTACCACATGCTCTCTTTTTCCTATAAAAAAAAAAAGCAATTTTTTTTTCTCAAAACATTCGGGGTGCTGCGCAGGTGAAAGTATATATACATTTGGACCGTTTAAGGGTTAAGAAGGCACTGGACAGGCACCTAAAGTCAGTACCTGACCAACCAGGCTGTGGTTCGTACGTCAGCTTGCGTGCGGCCAGTAGTAACAGCCTTTTTGATCAGACCCTGATCCACCGTGAGGCCTGGTCTCGGGCCAAGCCGCGGGGGCGTTGACCCCGAAACCCTCTCCAAGTAAACCACAGCAATACTCCAAAGATTGGACTGGTGTTGCTTGTTCTAGGAACACTTGTGAAAATTCATTGCTTGAGGGTATACTGTATTGGGAGCTTTACTCATACTGCTTATGCACATACACACATGTGCGTGTGCACATACATACATGCATACATAAACAAAAATCTGATTAAAACTTGTCTTAAAGCAATGAAATTTAAACTTTTAATCCTGGTGTGCTTCCTGCCACAACTACAAGTTTGTCATGGCAGAATATTGTACGGGTTTTCATATACAGTACAGTTTATATTACATTTAAATTGCACACGGAATCATTCAAATTTTACATGTTTATTAAATGTCTTGTATTAAAAATGCTAGTTATGTTGCAGATATTGCATCTTGACACTTAGTAATAGGAACTCATCAAAGGTAAAGATGACAAAAAAAAAAAAAAAAAAAAAAAAAAAAAAAACTCAGATCAGATGCATAGATTAAGCCTTTCATGATATTTTGTATACTGTGAAACTCTTGTCTAAAATTCCACTGTTAGGAAAAAAAGTTGTTAATAATCATATTTTGGCTCTCACTCTTAAACCTTTATCTTAATTTTTGGTATTTTACCTGCTGTGATTCCTTGGGGATGGGGGGGCTTCATGAAAGTAGCATTAAATTGGTTTTTAATTATGGTGTATATTCTCTTGAACAAATCTTAATTTTGGGAGCTACTTCCTATACACTAGTCAAAAGGGTAATTTAATCTAAAAATACAAAGGTTTTATTAAATATTAAAACTGGTATGACCACCCATGCTACAGTGGCATTTCGAGTTAACCCAGGATAACTCGAGAAAATCAGTTTTTCATTTTTTGTTAGTTCTGTTCAATTGAGCCAAATGCTCTCATCACAGGTAAGTCACTGAAAGAACTTGTGTGAATATAGTTAAATGTAATTCTTATTAATATTTTGTGCTTTAGTTTTGTTTTCCAAAATGATTGCATTGTCCATTTCTTATTTTAAATATTTTATACAGTAATTGAGGTTAAAGTTAAGTTATATTTACGTGCAAAAATTCCAGTGGATTCAAGTAACAGATAATATTGATAATGTACTGGTATAGGCAATGACTTGACCACTGTACATCCAGTAGTGGCCATTCAAATAGAACAGGTACAGTAGTTTAAGTACAGTATCCTCTGTTAAAAATTTTCCTTCACTGCATTCTTTGATTTAGATCCTTAAGCTAGGAGCTATTTTTTAAAATAGCCAAAAGCTAATTTTAACTGTAGAACTTTTTCTTTTCTTACAGATAAGATGAATAGTCGATGCAGGATGATAGTCGGGTGTGTGGAGGGACATGCCTAGAGAATAACATTCCCTTGCTTATCTCTGTTTCTGAGCGGAATCCCCCTGGAAGATATTGTAATGTGATTAGAAGTCTAGTATATCACATGTTTAAGACACTGTTGTGTGGAAGAACTTTATAGAGAAACTTTATTATACTGTATTACTATATAAATACGTATAAGTGAATATAGAATATAAGTTACTGTATCTAGTCATTGGATGAAATAACCTAAACAAGTTAGTAAACTGTTAAATAAAAGCAAAGTAAATCACGTGCAGTACTAGTCCCTCACTTTACAAATAAACATCTTGTTTAGAGCAATTTGAGCCAAGTATTAATCAAGGCTTAAAATTGTGAAGCGTGTATAGAAATGGGAGATGCAAGCCAAAATAACTTGCAGCTCTTTGATGAGCAGTATCGCTTGGAAACTTTTGAGGGTCATAATTTTGCAATAGATAATGGTACTCTTGCGAAGGCTGGTTTCTATTACACACACACTGGAGACTTTGTGAAATGCTATATGTGTAATTTACAAATTGATGCTGTAAACTTAAAACCAGATGAAGATATTATCGCTCTACACAAGGAAAAGAAACCAGACTGCAAGTTTGCTCAGAACCTCAATAGGTCAAAGAAATTTGCCTCCTATGACAGTCTGCGGTTTGAGAAAGAACGCTTGGAAACTTTTATAGAATGGCCTGTGAAATGGTTGAAACCAAGTGATTTGGCACGTGATGGCTTTTACTATCTCAGAACAGCTGACCACTGTGCTTGTGTCTTCTGCCGAGGCATTGTAGGAGCCTGGGAAGAGGGTGACACGCCTAGAGGGGAGCATCAGCGGCATTTCCCACACTGTCCATTTATCAGGGGACAGCCGGTTGGAAATATCCCAATTACACATGGTGAAATTCTTTCGAAGATGTCGCCATCATCTCCAAAATTGCGAAATAGACACATGGTGGGGATAGATGTCTGTGGCACTCCAAGGCATATGCCAGGCTCTTATGCAGAGTGCAGTAAGTATTGTCTTTTCTGTTAAATATTTCTTTTTAACATAATCTGTCAAGTTAGAGGTAGCATATACAGTAGTCATGTAATATACATCATTTGGGTTCTTGCCTAGATATATCAATAAATCATATTAAGAATGAAGCCTGGAATTCAAAGTCGTGTTGATTCATAATTGACTTCGTCAGTGGTCCAAGTCGGACCGAAACGTCGTCGTAAGCTTCTCTTTTATGTGCCGGTTATTTGTGTATCGTTCCAGTCACGGTATTGTGCCTTTTTTTGTTATTTACCATTTCTGTACACAATGAATGGACCTCGGCACTAGTGTTAATTCTTAATAAACACAGCTGAACAAGATAGGTAGCAGGTGGTATGTTTCACAAACCCCTGGGAGCCTCTGCCACAAGTTTAGGATAAGGGAGGTTTTGTGGGCAAGGGGCTTAGACTTCCAGCAAGTGTGCGTGAGTGTGTTAGGAATGAATGGAGACTAATTATTTGGGGGGGGGGGGTCTGATGAGCTGTTGGCATGAGCAGGGTAATATTTTGTGAAGGGATTCAGGGAAACTGATTAGCTGAACTTTGAGTCCTGGAAGTGGGGAAGTAAAGTACAATGCCTGCACTTTAAAGGAGGGGTTTGAGATATTGGCTATTTGGAGTAACGTCTAAACTGTCATACCTGAGTGCCTCTGCAAAAAGTGATTATGTATGAATGATCGTGAAAGTATTGAATGATGAAATTTTTCTTTTTGGGTCCCCCTGCCTCGGTGGGAAACGGCCAATGTGTTAAAAAAAAGTTTAACTGACAGCTGTTTATATACATGCACACCATCTAATCTTCACTCCCTTTCCTTGAGAATAGGGTAATCTGGTGGCACTGGGTCGGTGGGACTGGTTAGGACAGATGGCAGGTAAGGGGAAGTTGAGGGACTGTGATGTTAATCTATTTCTTCTCTGGTTGTAACAAGGGATTCTTGCATGCATCAGTATTTTCTTCCTCCGCTTCTAAAAACACTGTTTGCCAATCAGTCATACAAATTTAAGATAAATCTGATTATGAAAAGGTCTGCTAAGGAATATAATGTGAAAATCTCTATATGTATATGTAAATGCAGCAGCGAGGAGACGGTTGGAGGCAGTGGAGATGTCCTGTTTAAGGGCAATGTGTGGTGTAAATATTATGCAGAAAATTCGGAGTGTGGAAATTAGGAGAAGGTGTGGAGTTAATAAAAGTATTAGTCAGAGGGCAGAAGAGGGGTTGTTGAGGTGGTTTGGTCATTTAGAGAGAATGGATCAAAGTAGAATGACATGGAAAGCATATAAATCTATAGGGGAAGGAAGGCGGGGTAGGGGTCGTCCTCGAAAGGGTTGGAGAGAGGGGGTAAAGGAGGTTTTGTGGGTAAGGGGCTTGGACTTCCAGCAAGCGTGCGTGAGCGTGTTAGATAGGAGTGAATGGAGACGAATGGTACTTGGGACCTGACGATCTGTTGGAGTGTGAGCAGGGTAATATTTAGTGAAGGGATTCAGGGAAACCGGTTATTTTCATATAGTCGGACTTGAGTCCTGGAAATGGGAAGTACAATGCCTGCACTTTAAAGGAGGGGTTTGGGATATTGGCAGTTTGGAGGGATATGTTGTGTATCTTTATATGTGTATGCTTCTAGACTGTTGTATTCTGAGCACCTCTGCAAAAACAGTGATAATGTGCGAGTGTAGTGAAAGTGTTGAATGATGATGAAAGTATTTTCTTTTTGGGGATTTTCTTTCTTTTTTGGGTCACCCTGCCTCGGTGGGAGACGGCCGACTTGTTGAAAAAAAAAAAAAAAAAGTATATATACAGAATCATGAATAGGTCTGGTACTGCTTAGCGAGAAGAGACTAGAGGAATGACCTTACAAACTCGTATTCACTTGTCACCTTTTTGCTTATTCCATTGGTATATACTAATGATGTATTCTTTGATTTAAGGTGGACCTCCAAAGAAGGAAGGAGCAAATCTTGATAGTATGGGTCTGCCTCAGCACAGTGGTCCTAAACGGAAAGACTATCTAACATATGAGAGTAGAGTAGCAAGTTTCGTCAGATGGCCAGAACTTGTTAAACAAAAACCTGGAGAGTTGGCAGAAGCAGGATTCTTCTACTGTGGTATGCTATACAGAATTTTTTATTTTAGTTTAAGAATTGTGAATTTCTTACACTGAAGATAGGATACCAGGAGCATAGCACTGCTGCTGTTGTCTAAGGTTCATTTTATATACAATAAGATGGTATTTGATGAATGGCATTTATTTTGCAGTATATGAAACCAAAAATGGTGCTTTACAGTTGTAAATAATTTTTTTTTTCTTTTATTACATTCTACATAATTATCTTTCAAACCACCAGCATTTCTTCCAGTATAATTTCATACTGTAACCCTTGAGTTACTTTTTTTTTATCACCTTTTTTACATATGTTAGCTCTTAAGAACTGTCATTGGCAAAGAGCAGCTGTGACAACTCTAGCTTTTGTCAAAGCTTTTTTTCTATTTAATCCTACACCATAGCATTCAGCTTTGTAGAAGAACTAATGCTAGGGTGACATCACAGCCCTAAGATCTGTTTTACTGGAAAAGTTTCCCTTTCCCACCTACCTTAACTTTAGTAACCCTGTTACTTAATCCATACATTTGCAACATATGCCACTTTGCTTTTATATCTGCCCTATTGTATGCCTTTTCTAAATCCACAAATGCAACAGTTTTATCTTAAATGCTGTTTACTTGTTCACTTGGCTATATCCCAAAAAGGAAAAACTAAAGTTTCTCTCTTTAAATTTAGTAATTTATACAAGAGAAGGGGTTACTAGCCCCTTGCCCCCGGCATTTGTCGCCTCTTACAACACGCATGGCTTACAGGGGAAAAATTCTGTTCCACTTCCCCATGGAGATAAGAGGAAATAAACAAGAACTAGAAAGAAAATAGAAAACCCAGAGGGGTGTGTATGTACATGTTTGTATATGTATGCGTAGTGTGACCTATGTAGAAGTAGCAAGACGTACCTGAAATCTTGCATGTTTGAGACAGAAGAAAACACCAGCAATCCTACCATGTAAAACAATTACAGGCTTTCATTTTGAATGTAAATGTATATTAGATATTATCAGCCCTTGAGCATTCCAAACTTTCGAATACCTAAGCTGATATTAAATTGTAATTTTTTTTTTAAGCCCTGTACACATGTATATGTTTGATCAAACTAGATAATAATATATTTAACCCTCCCCTTCACGTGTCATTTAACTGCATGGCCCTATATTCAGGTAATAATTTGCTCCATATAATTCAGATACAGTGGACCCTCGTTTTTTGTAATTAATCCGTTCAAGTGTGTGACTAATGGCGAAATTGATTCGCGAAACCATTTTCCCCATAAGAAATGTAAATCCATTTAATCTGTTTCAGACCAAAAGCATTAACAAGTATTAACATGCAATACATATTTACATAAACAGAAAACAATGAGACTTGAAGAATAAAACAATATCACACTTACCTTTATTGAAGACTTGTTTGTGTATGAATAAGATACGTTAAGAATTGTGATGGCAGCAGGGGAGTGTTTGGATGACACTAATATCAACTCTACAGCTTATTTATCTAGCACAATTCATCTAATGACATAAACAATATTAATAACATAGAAACATGACATATACTCTAGAATGAATAAAAAAGTCATTGCATATGTCACGAGTGGTGGTGTGTTGTTGGGTGTATAAGGGCCACTGAGAGCATAAGCTGTACATGGTGGTGAAGGCCAGCAGAGGCAGTGGTATTCTCAGTAGCCCTATATAACTCCAACAACATTGGAGGAGTTAGGTTAGTGCTGTCCTTTTTCTATCAATCGCTTAACTTAGTTGCTACACTGTTAATGTTACATTTTATCACTGGCTGGCACTCTAGCCTATATAGATAAACAATGGTACACTGGAGTATGTTGCCGCTCGGGGCTGTGCGTACGCATCTGGGCTGAACGACTATTTGCAAGCCAAACGATTAGTCCATATTTTGACGAAATAACTTTACGGTTTTAAAATATTACAACTTCCGATGCTTATGAAAAATGAGGGTCCACTGTAATTGAACATTGTCCATATTTTCACTCTTGTAAATTTCTGTAAACTTTCTCCTACTTCAGGAGTGTACATTTTGAATTTTTCACACCTGAGCTCATAAACAGTTAACAGTAACTCGACATTATTTTCCATGGTTTGTTCAGTTGGTTCTTTTTATCTTTAACTCATAGATTTTAAGATACATTTTGCTTATTACTTTTGCTTTTATTCAAATTGTTCTGACCCATTAAACTTTTTTACTGATTCACTGATTCTTACTGACACAGACACGCACGCACAGGCACACAGACACTCACACACTCAGACGCGCACACACTCAGACACACACACACACTCAGACACACACACACACTCAGACGCACACTCAGACACAACTAGGCGAGTACACACTCTCAAATACAACTGGCCTAGTGTCTAATCGACATGTGCCTAGGACAAAATGGTAACTAACACACACACACACTCAGACAGACACAGACACAGACACAGACACACACTCTCACACACTCTCACACACTC